TAGACTAGCTTCTGGGTAACAAGGTGGGAAAGGCTGCTGGCAGCAGTGGTAAATGGAGAGTGCTGAATTGCAGACCTCTGCATTACTGGGGTGGAGCAGACTGTCTTTTGAACAGCCATCTTCGGGCCGGCCCCGTGGCTCACTCGGGAGAGTGCGGTGCTGATAACACCAAGGCCATGGGTTCGGATCCTATATAGGGATGGCCGGTTTGCTCACTGGCTGAGTGTAGTGCTGACAACACCAAGCTAAGGGTTGAGATCCCCTTACCGGTCATCTTTTTAAAAAAAATAAATAAACAGCCATCTTCATATTCACCCATTCGTTCATTCTTTCAGCAAACTTTTAACAAGCACTTGCCTTGTCCAGGCCTTGAGTATTTTTAGAAGATACAACATCTGTCCCTGGCCGTTCATGAGCTACCATTTCAATGAAGTGGCCCCCAGGACTCTGGTAACTGGACCCTAAGTTTGGGCAGTTGGGACTCTCCACTTACCCTGGTTTATTGTAACACTGCTGTTTGACCTTGGAACACATCGTTTACCTCTCTGAGCCACTGTTTCCTCATCTACAGTGGGGATGCCAATAGAATACATAACTTAAAGGTTTTCAGTTTTTGTTTTGCTTTGTTTTTAATAAGTACAACATCAGTAATTTAATTTCAGCCAAAAGACTAATTGGTAATATCACATAATGTTTATATCAATTTAAATAGTTTTGGCCGGGCCGGCCTGTGGCTCACTCGGGAGAGTGCGGTGCTCATAACACCAAGGCCACGGGTTCGGATCCCATATAGGGATGGCCGGTTGGCTCGCTGGATGAGTGTGGTGCTGACAACACCAAGTCAAGGGTTAAGATCCCCTTACCGGTCATGTGGTCGGGAGAAATACATGGAACAGAAAGTTGGTGAAACTGTATAAATGCCATGAAAGAGAAGAAACTGCTGTGAGAGTGGATTGCAGGGTGGCCTGGCCTGGTCTAGACGCTTTCCTGTGTCTTCAGCTGGACCTGAAGCATGAATTGGGTGCTCCTGGTGAGGAGCTGAGGAACTGCACCAGAAGCTCTTTGGATTTTTTTTTTTTTTTTAAGATCTTAACCCTTGACTTGGTGTTGTCAGCACCACGCTCACCCAGCGAGCCAACCGGCCATCCGTATATGGGATCCGAACCCGTGGACTTGGTGTTATCAGCACCGCACTCTCCCGAGTGAGCCACAGGCCGGCCCTTACTGGTCATCTTTAAAAAAAAAAAAAAAAAAATTTAAAAATAAATAAATAAATAAATAGTTTTGGCTGGCAATTTCTTGATTCCCTATTTCTTCCATCTAAGTACTAATCAGGCCTGACCCTGCTTAGCTTCCAAGATCAGATGAGATCTGGTGTGATCAGGGTTGTATGGCCATAGATGGCTTCCTATTTCTATAAAAGCTTATAAGCATGAGACATTTATGCTTGTTTTGATCTACATGTATATTTAATTTAGATAATAGTAAGAATATTTAAAATCAGTTCAGGGTTGTTTTGAGGACTGGAAATTATAGTCCTTAACATGGTGCCTAATACAGGATGAAACTCAATTGATGGTAGCTATAATGGTTATTAGTCCTGGGAGGGGATCTATAGGTACCATGTATTCCACTCTCTGCCCTGGAACAGTAATTGAGGTGATGGTGCTAATTCCCCCTCCAATTTTGGGCTGAATTCTGGGTAGACCTATCCCTGGGAGACTTACTAGTCAAGGTCTGAACTCCAGGATGGAAGCCAGAGCTCTGGCTCTGTAGCACAAGCCCTGAAGGACCTTGGACAAGTCATGAAGGCAAAGAAAGTTGGCATCTAAGTCAACAGTCTTTTGGCTGCAAGTAACAGAAACATTGGAATTACTCAGTAAAAGGGGAGTGTCATGCACCTGATCCCAGGAAATTCAGCCAGGTCTTAAGGAAGCTGGGACCGGTAAGTCAGAAACCAGAATTTTGAACCCTATCTCTTTTTTTTTTTTTTTTTCCTTTTTGTCTTTTTTCGTGACCGGCAACGGGATCGCAACCCTCGGTATTGCGCCCGCACCT